TTTAGTAGACAATATAAATGGGTCCAAATTTCCACTGTTTTTGAGCATGTCGTTTTCCAATGTAAACATACTGTGACGTCATAATGAAATAGGGCAATAAGTCACATGGAGATACAGGTTTTATCTTTCAGTGTTCAAAAATATATCTCGTTCTTGAGTTAGCGTAGGAAAGAAGATGAAATCTGCATTTCCATTTCCGGTACCTTTATCAAGTATTTAAGCAATAAACAACACATTTTCATGCATTCCTGGTGAAATAAACCGCGCAAGATGTTGGGAGAACATGAAAAAGGTGTAAAAAAACTTGAGCCGGACGGGAGAGATTATTTTTCAGCTTTCTGAGTGCTTTCCCAATATGCTCTGAGGTTTTTTATTTTACCAGGAACGCACGAAAATGTATTGTTTATTGCTTTTATATTATTAATAGCATTTTTGCATCTGTGCATTTACCAGGGAAATAAACAATAACAATTGGCCAAAAAATCAGAGAGCGCATACTATGAAAGCTATAATATAATTCAAAATGATATTTTAGCATAAGACCAAGGTTTATTTCCCCTTAACATGCAAACCAAATCTACACTAAAACCAGACTAACCAGTAACTGTTGCATAGAACCTCTGAATTCATTCGCAAGGTAATTGCTGAGTATCCCCAAAGACTGCCATTCATCCAGATCCTAATAATTCAGTGTAATACCCCTCAGATGTTTTTCATCCAATCACAATTCAGTACATAGAATGGGTCAAACTTACCAGAATTTTACTTAATTTCTTCACTAATTCCTTTCTCTTTGGTTTTATATTTTCTGCTTTTGTGAGTTTTTGAGAAGCACTTGCACTGAAAAGTAGGAAAAATAACCTATCTTTAATGGTTTAATTAATGATTTGATGGTGAATTGTAGCAGGCTGACTGCAGGATGATAGGATTGTATCAATAAGAGAATTGCCAATTTGTGAATTTCGCTTCAGTTAAATACAAAAAAGAATCAAGACGAGGTGCACCGTGCATAAACATCAGTCAATCGTGAAAAACTATTGTCTTTCCACAAATGACTGAGCTTTATGTACGGCGCCTCGTCTTGATTCCTTTGTGTGTGACTACTGACAAGGCAAAATTCACAAGTCAGATAATTATTAAGGATTTTTGCTATAATTATAAGTTATTACAAATATGATAGAAAACAAATTGAAAATGGATTTTTGTTGTGTGTCCTATCCTGAATTAATTCACACACTCTTCACACCATGAAATGTTCAAAATTTGCAGCTCTGAACTCACTTAAATTAAAGATTTTATGATATCAAGACTGTATCAATATGAAGACGAGAAGGTAAGTCACGAACAGTTATCAAAATTGGTACACCTTTAGTATTGTTTTGACACATCAATGAGGTTATAATTATTATATACCTAGGTTTCTTGTACCACAAAACTCCATCAAGGAGCCTTTGCTTATTTTGTTGTAGAATATCGGCAATTTGATTCTAAAAGACATAACACACATGTACAGCAAGCATCTCAAGTTAAAAGTTAATATAAACTTATTAGACTTCGGCCACCATCGTTCGACAATTCATCTTCTTACCGGTTCTTGGAGCGAAGAACGTCCAGAAATAATATGCCATATTCCACGGTTTGAGCTAAAAACACGAGAAATTTCATTTCAAGTTTTCAAACATGTGACAAAATTTTCAAACTTCATCAAAATTTAAGCTCTCAAAAACTACCCAAAAGTGCTTCAAATATATACAAAAAGCTCACTTGCCTCGGAATATCCATCCTTGACGAGAACAGAGGTAAACTATTGTTGAACTCTCATTTTATTCCGTTGAAATAACCAAATGTTTATCCCACTTCTTCTCCCGCCATTTTGAATTTGATACTCGGCACCAGGCTTCTGTGGATCAAAATGGACGTTTTATATCCCAGTCTTCAAAGCAAAAAATGCACCTCACGACTAAAAGTCAGTTTCATGGCCCTCTGCCGTAAAATTCGAATAAAATATTGTGTGGTAGCACCAAAAGCGACGTATAATTAGACTCTATACAGAGACGTAATGCATTCTGGTAGACCAGATTGCTGAGCAGCCTATCGAGCTTGAAGCGAGCGGAGCAAGCAGCGATCCTAATTTTTACAAAAACCAGAACCATCCGACAATTTGGCATATAGTAAGACGAGTGATAATCCAAGGATGGAAAGCATAYTGKGCAWATTCAACTTTTGAATTATGTACAGAAGATCGTAATGACAGCTATATTTCGATTTTATTGCAAAATCATAATCATGCTAAAAGTTACAAGTGGTCATGGAGCTTATATACACGAGCTAGAACAATTCTAATTCCCGGGAGGCTTTAAGTCCCTCGTTTATAGTAGCTTTGGTATTTTTAATATAGTATGCCTCAAGTGATAACAATTGTGACCAGTTATTACTAGAGTCAACAATTTCCACGTTGTTGTGAACAGCATTAAAAATATGTTGCTTAAAGTCCACAACGCGGTCGGGAAATCAAAACAATTTGTTACTCTATCGAGACTTGCTAAATCATTGAAAAGAGAGCAGTTACTTAGATGTTTATGCATAGGTTGATCAGCTCGATATGCGTGCTCTTTCAACCGAAAACTGAGTGATCTATCAGTTTTACCGATATAGAATTCAGAACAACCAGGGCAGGTTAATTTATAGATAACTTTAGACCTCTGAAGAATGGGAACAGGGTCCTTATTAGAACAAAAACTTAAGCTATTTTACAGGTATTGTATCTGATAACAAACTTAACTTTGGAACTAAACAAGCCAAGTTTCTTGGTTAGATTGTGAACTAGACTAATACCTCTGTTTCCCGCATATGGCAATCTGATCCAAACTGTTGGAATAGACTCATCAACATCCGCACGCTTGTAATTTTTTTGGGGGGGTAAGTTTAAAAAATAAAAGCTTTAGTGGAGATTTTTCAAAATTATATGTCCGGGAGTCAAAATAATTCACCAAAATCACAGTAAAATGTAAATCCAGTCTAATCAAATATACTTTACAGTGTATTTATATCAAAGAATTACTATAAAAGCTACAGCTCCCGGGCAGTTAACTGTTCTATTATACGATTGTTTACAGCCGAGTTCGTAATGTGATATTTCGTATAGAGACCGGAGGGCGATCGGTGGACCCGAAGGCAAACTTCTGACTTGGGAAGAAAAAACTATACGCGTTGCATTTTATGACTCGTGACCCGTCCAAGGGCCTGGTCACGAGTAATTATATTAACTGAGTGTCTATAACGTACAAGGGGACACTGTGCTCCCACACTCACTATCTCTAGCACAAAACAAATTACATGAAAAAGTAATGAAAAACGTAATTCAAAAATTTTCTGAAAGTAATCTGCTTAACCGTGATTCGAAAAAACTAGTCGTGAGTCGTGAAATCGCCAATTTTTTAGCCGTGAGTCGTGATGCGTACCACCCCATTGAGACCCTCATATATAAGTAAAAATGTGGAAAAAGGCCAGATGCTGGTTGTATTTCGATATGTTAAGTTTTTAAAATGCAACCCGTTGTCTGTAATCATCTTTCCAGTCTCTATCCAAACTCACCCAACTATATTGAATAGCAGACTGAGATAATTGAGCCATGAAGCAGTGCGAGCATTATAAAAAAAACTCGCCGCTCAGGAAATTTCATAATATCTAAACTTTTAAGTTAAAAACTGCTTAATAGATCGAAGTCACCGGCAAAAAATACCGCTTATTTGAGTGGATCTGGTCCGGTTTGTCAGCTGCGAAAGTCTAAAACCAAGCAAGAATGATCATGAGAGGTTCATCGATAGACAGGAAATATATCATTGCGAAACAGAGTCAATGATTGCCTCTGGGCCCGCCACTGACGGATCGGAATACGCAGGCCAATGTATCAGTCCAATATATGGAGTACATAGATATGAATAGTTTACTAAAATCCATTGCAGCCACAATGCTGGATTACGGACAATTACAAAGTAGTTAAAGTGCGGGTGTACACGATGAAAACCGAACATCGAATTTGAGCTGTGCTTACACTATATAGTTACTACCTAACAGTTCTATTAGTTCTAATAGTTAGTTCTAATGAGTTCTATTCAAGTTCTATTGAGTTCTAGTCTATTAGTTCTATTAGTTCTTTTTTTTTATCTATTAGTCACTTTCACCAGAGTTAGTAGAGGAGACTACTAACTCTGCTTTCACTCAACTGGAAAAGGGTTGTATTGTTTCCTTTGTATTAGTTTCCCCAAGAGCACAGACTGCATTGTTACTAAGACTGTTCTTCAAGGTCATCCAGTTGAGTTTTAAATAAAAACTATTTGTTAGTAACTATTTAGATTTTATTTCATGAACATAGTGTAAGCACTCACATAAGTCGCGTTTTATGCTTGTTTTTTGATAATCACATGCTGCACAAAAACACTTGAAAATTGAGGTACTAAAATAACCAACCAATCGTTAGATGACTTTGTCAACGCTTGAATTATACTCCTTGGATCACTTGTCAGTTAAGTATAGTTCGGACTTGAATTGCTGAAGAAGAGCTAAGAATAAGCTAAGAATATGTCGGCACTCTCTGCCGCAATCGTTCTGTTTACGTCCATTTCTACTGTTTTCGCTGACGGGAAAATGGCACTCACACTGGAAAAAATCGCGCTGTAAATATGATGTAAAAACGATGTAAAAACGATGTAAATTTGATGTAAGTAAGAGATAAATACCGAGAACGGAGGCAATAAGCCATATAAAGCACGAGGGGCCGTAGGCCCCGAGGGCTTTATAGGCTTATTGCCGACGTTCGAGGTATTTATCTGACTTATTTCATACTTGAAGAAGTTTTCCAAGCACTGCATTAATATTTTCATTTTAAAATAGGCAAAAAAGCCGTTTTCATATGAACTAAAAACCAAAACCTCGATTAGAAAGGTTACGAAATTTACTGTATTGACAATTCCCAACGGTAATAATTTGCATAACCATTTTTCTCGTTAGTCCCATGAGACCAATGCTAACAATGTACCTTTTGTAACAAGTAACTGGACAATGTTAAATAACTGTTTTATTCCACAACTGACATCGATTAGTCAGTTAGCATAGCGTGTTAAGTATAGGATTTTCAAAGCTAAGGTTGTGGGTTCGAATCTACTTGGTGTCATTTGAATTTTTCTTTCTTTATTTCAAGTTTTAAAGTTTCAGACGGAAAATTTCTAAGTTGAACGTAGTAGTTAATTAGGTATTCAAGGGCAATAAGTACATTAGTATTCAAGGGCAATATCTAGATATTGCCCTGAAACTTCGATATAAAGCACTTGAATACACAATGAGTTGTGGAATAAGCTAGATACAGCACTATGAATAACAAAGAAAACTGAATCAAGTATGAAATAAGTGATATTTACAACATTTTGGACACTTACAGAATATTTACATCGTTTTTACATCGTTTTTACATACATTGTAAATTTGATTTACATCATATTCACATCATATTTACATCAAATTTACATACATTCTACATCAAATTTACATCCTTTTTACATACATTGTAAATTTGATTTACATCATATTTACATCAAATTTACATACATTTTACATCAAATTTACATCCTTTTTACATACATTGTAAATATCGCGGGAATGAGAGACGCGATATTTACATCAAATTTACATCATATTTACATAATATTCATGCGATATTTACAGACGTTGTAAAAACGGCGTAAATGGAGGGATTACAATTTACACGCTTTTTACATGCTTTGATGTGATTGGTCCGTTCGAATATAGGGAAAACCCTCTGAAAAAGAGCAAAATAATGACAACAAAAGTGATTCTTTTTTATCAAAATATTGCATAGAGTGGAAGTTAAAAGAGAAAGATATAATTTGCATATTAGAATGCCAATGATACCATTCTCTTWTACTCCCACTCTAAACAATACTCGACAAAAAAATCACTTTTATTTTCACTACTTTTTCTTCTCAGAGAGGTCTCCCTATAGACTTATTAATTTTGCATCTCTGAATTTCTATCTATACCCTCCCAAAATGGTTCTCAATACAAATATGAGGCAATAAATTAAATCTTTGCAAGTCTTTTATTAAGAAATAAAACAGGTAATCTTTGAATGTAAAGCTGTGTGCTGATCTTGATCTGAAATAAAATAATAATAACAAAAATGAGTAACAAGACAAAAGGATAGAACATGCAATAGAAAACATGGTGACAACTAATAACAGTACTTGAGGTGAGTAAATGTTATTTACCAAGAAGAATAAAGAATAATTTAAATAGTCGTGCATGCATAGAGGTAAATTTGCAATACTTACATTGGAGAAGTTCATTAGTTTACATTATGATCATCCCTGAAATGAATAATAAAACCATGAATTACACAAAGCAAATACTCATTAATAATGAACAAATCTATAAGTGCTTGTATGATTTAAAATAAAAAAAGTAACTGAAACAAAAAGTTTCGCTGTTTATAAGAATGATTTTAATTGAGTTGCTCTAGAATTCCCCCAAAACGATGTAAATTTGATGTAAAAATGWTGTAAATWYSAYKTACMKMAAATTTACATCGTTTTTACATCGTTTTTACAAACGTTGTAAATTTAATGGAAATATGATGGAAATATGATGAAAATCAAACGATGTAAATATCGCGTAAATCCAAATTTACACGATATTTACATCATTTTGGACAGTTACACGATATTTACAACCTTTGTAAATATAGTGTAAATCAAATTTACATACTTTTTCCATTAWATTTACAACCTTCGAGGAGCGCGATTTTTTCCAGTGTCAGTGGCGACAAATACGTCGTCGAATGGAAGCATTTGCCAGCAACTCAAGAAATACAGTTCAATGTTACTGTGAACATAACGTCTGGTTGGGTTGGTTTGGGAATATCGAAGGAAAATAGTGGTATGAAAAATCTTGATGTCTCATATGGAACTTATTGCCATACATCGGGTGACATTTGCTTGGATTATTGTCCAGGCTCACTCATGCATCCATGCATGCATKTATATATGCATGTAATTTATTCATTTACTTCATGAAATATAATACAATGGAGTTAATTAATATTTTGTCGTCGATCGACCTCATTAACATCATCATCTGACCATTAAATACTATTAATAGCAAAGTCACCTCTAGAAAGGAAAGTACATGTACATATAATATCACAGTTACGTTCACTGACTGATATAAATTTTTCAAATATTGAATTAACACAAAAGTGCATAGTTTTGAGTACATTTTCAACATATAATAAGAAAGCAATAATTTGAAAAATTCAAGTTTGATTTTTGTTGCTTGTGCCTACAGAAGTAGTCTCCTTTGCATCCGTTCATCGTCGGGACAGGAATCCCGAAACGCAAACGGATGCGAAGCAACGCCAACTCTTCAAAGGCGAAAATACGTAATTTGATTTTTAAATTTTCTCACGAAAAATACACAGCAATGTCACACATACATTTTATTTCTTAAATCCGGTGCTAGGTTTTTTATTAACAAAATAAGTTATGCGCGAGGCCCAGTTTTTTGGAGCGAACTGTGGTGAAAACATGGATCGCCATACTATTTTAATGCTCAACTTCAACTCTTCAAGGGCAAAAATACGTGATTGGATTTTCGAATTTTCTCATGAAAAATACCCAGAAAGGTCGCATATAGATTTTATTTCTTAAATCCGGTGCTAGGTTTTTACGATTGTTTTTAATGTCGCCGCATTTCTTCAAAAAGCCTTGAAATCTGGCCTTTTTTCGTCAAATTTGGCACTTCATACGGACTGTCAGGTCAAGCTTGAGTGATCACGGACTATTTGTCCCCCATAAGTTCCATATG